AAATACTATTTGGCATGTAACAGCAAGGCAGCATCATGATTATATTCATGTTGAAGGAGGTTTTCCAAATGTATAACATCAGCCTCTTTCCATCAGATCCAGTGGGTTGTGGAGAGCAGAGCATCATTGTCATCCGTTGTAAAAAAAGGCCTAAGCATAATCTTTTTAAATGAATGCAACACTTTAAGTTATTTTAATGAAATGCAAGTTTTATGTACTCTCTTTGCCATCATTTACAGTCCATAAGACTTTGYCAAGGTATCAATTCAGTGTAATAATTTGGTTTAAAATAAATGGAATGTGTCTGTAAAGACTACACYCCAAACCATCAAATGCAAGAATCATATTAAGGTCAGGGTTTAAAATATATGACCATGACTACCTTATTGCAGGGTAAAAGGGGCAAGTTTTATGAATTAATCTGTTTCACCTCATTGCTGACTCCTATTTTGAAACACTTAAAYCCCTTGTCAAAACTGTCTGCTCGAATTAATGACCACTAATTTCAATTGAGCTGGGACTTTGGCTCTYACTACGGGCTGTGCTGACATGTGGCTCTATCTGACAACCGCCAGCTTCATAAGCCCAGAATGGTCATAATTTCATAAAAGCCCTCTAGAATGTCCTGTCTGCATACTGTATCTGCAATCTAATCAATCATATGGCTTTTGCAGACAACTTTGACTATCAAATATATCACCATGGGAGCGTAAAACACTAGTCCTACCAAAGACTACAAGAAGTAATGGATTTTTAGCTGTCATGCTGCTGAACCCTAATACTTTGAATATTGGCTTTATGGCAAGTGTTATTATTTTTTTTATTATTACCCACCACCATTTCCCTTAGGGTTCCCTTGCTTTTAAATGAGGGCCAATCCTAGTCTGGTTCAAAGATGGGATTTGGGAACAGGCATGAATAAATAAATAAATAAGTTACAATGTGGAATAGAAAACATAGGAAGAGTTCAGACATGCGTAACAAACACAAACAAGACAAAGTATGATAATGAGCTCAAGACGAAGCAGCAGACAATGAAATGTGTGACAACCGTAACAAAATGACGAAAAGGGTTTAAATAGTGTGTATACAGTATGTGGGGAGGGTTGGGAGGTCTTGCACTTGATTTAATGCCCACTCTGTTTCTGTGTTGATTCTATTGCTTAGCATAAGCAGCTCAATGGAAGACAGATCTGTATACAGAATCAGACTTGTAGGTCTCTGGCGCATATTGATGGCAATACGTTGGATGTTCAGCAGAGTTTCACACCCTCAATGGATAGGACAGGCTGAAAACCAAATATAAAATAAATAAGGCAATGGCTTTCTGAGCAAGGTCTCCAGATGTTCCATTCAGCAGGGGAGACTGCCTTTGTGACCGGTTTGGTGTGTGTGTCTGTGTATAACATTTTCAGCAGCCATCCATCCATTTCTTCCCTCCACTGTAAGAGGGTGTACTATCAAGCCCCATTGTTTCTATTCAATTAGCTGTCATTACCAACAGCAGTTTGATTACTGAGTTCATTTAGCTYGTGTGGAACAATGGAGGCAGCAAGCTGGTTTTTCATTCATCCTACTACCAATATTGTCTTCCTCACAGGAGAAAATTAAATGGGGCTTGTCTGTGAGGAACGAGGTACACACAGTAAGCTCAATGCATTGCTCTTTTCTCTATCTCTTTTTTTTGTGTGTATGGTCCAGTGTCCACAAATGCCTAAAAACACAGAACTAACAGGAGAGGTTGAAGAWGAAAGAAAAACATATCCTGGAAGGATTAGCAACCTGGGCAAGGTGGATGAGAAGAAACACACAGAGCTACATTGATTTCACTACTATAATGAGCACCATTCAATCACACTAAATTCAGAGGGGCCTACCATTAGCAGGTCAGTGCCTGAATGGCTCGGGCAACTACAATCCATAAATGATCTATTTAATGCACTGATATAAAAGAAAAGGACAATTCACAAATTGACACCTGAGTGCTTTTACAGCATTTTCCAACCTTGGCTTTTAATTACGTGATTTGGTAATTTTCTAGCCATCCAAGTTTTTTTTTCCTTTTTTCATCCTCCTTTTATCCTTTMTTATACTGCAGTAATTCATTCAGCTTTAGTGAATGTAGGGTAAGTCAGGGTGCTCACCTTTCTTGTTCCGGCCTCATTTGATGGGTCTCCTCCTCTGACGCTTGCAACTCTTCAGTTTTAAATTTACTGGATTTTTTTCTTTCCATCTTGTCATCTGGCCGCTCGTCCCTTTTGCTTTTTCCAAATCTACAAAAACACAAACAGTCGATTAGACTTTAAGCCCACACTGTGAATATCTTAAAGCTACGTATATTTTTTTATGACTGTTATCTCCCAACGTTTATCAGGAATATTTAGATGAAACTGTTTAAAATTGAAGTCTCGACTTGTCAAGACCTGCAGGTGTGACTATGTGGAGACAACCAAGGAGGACAGCAATTCTATATTTGATCATTAGTTAGCTACTTCATATAAAAGCACATAAAATGCATGAAGCCATATAAAATACTCTAACTCCACAAAGTGTTTTCCTTTCCTGCCAACAACCCATCTGGCACAGAACAGAAGTCTGGGCACATTTTAGAGTGAACAACAACAACAACAACAACAAAAATAGATAAACTCAGTTCACTGAGGAGAGGTTAAGCTCATGAATTCCTACCTGAGTTTTGCAATTTACCTAAGAGTGATGGCAGCTCAGACAGCTCAAGAGTCAAGTTTGGGCAAAAGAAACAAACTACCTGCAAGCAGGTAAAATGTAAGTGAAAGAAACAACACTTGCAGGCAACAACTGTGACTGTTCAATTTAATGGCTTAAATCTGTGACAGTTTCATAACAGAAATGACAAATAAGCAAAGCTGTTGGATTTTAAATAATTCTGGTTAATTGGCTCTGAGTAGCTAAAATGTTAGAGCCAGAAACTGTGGCACAAAACACTTATGGGTGACGACACCAACACCTCACACTGGTTGACATCACCTTTGTTCTGTTTGAAAGATTTGGGTTTAGGCTGTTGGTCCGGCCCCATTAGGAATGGTTCCATATGTGGCTAAGACCATGCCATGCTAGCATAATGCTACCGCTATGAGTATATAATCTGCACTAGGCTGTTTCTATGCTGTGGACTTCATGGTTGGAGTCTTGACACAAAGCCAGCAAGGCCAGTCCTGCTTCACAACCAAGTCACACCACTGGTTTGGAGTCCCACATCATGGGTGCACTCTCATCCTGAATGATGCACTACCACCACACCCAAAGCTCTACCTGTAATAAATCACCACAACCTCTTTAAGTTTTTGTGTATTTGTGTAATTGTATGTACTAGAAACCCACCATGAACTCTTATGCTCTCTGTCACATCTACATTCTTGATAGGCACCTGAAGACTTCACCAAGCCCTTACAAAGATCTTCTATGTCCAGGTTGAATTATTTTTTTTTATGTTTTAGCAAGGTCATCATCTGGTGTGAACTGGGCCTTAAAAACCCCTGAGTGCTAAGTTTGGAAACAGTTATTGCAACACAGCTTCTGCATTCCGAATCCAAGAAGAAGCTCGTGATGCTCTGGAGGATATGTGTGCAAATTCCACCCAGCTTGTGCATGATGAGAACCTTAAAAAAAAAGCTGCTAAATTTTAAAACATAAACAACAACAGATGCAGTGACAGGTCTGACACATAAATGGTACATGGAAGCTGTTTCTCATTTTCAGTGTAGCTTTTTGATAGCTGGAAAAAACTCAAAATCTTTTTTTTTTCTTTTTTTTTTGGATGAATAAATCTGACTTCCTTAAGAGACAAAGTAAAAGCAAAACAAAATGTCTACAGTATATGGGGTTAGGTGGTCACATGTGAGAACAAATCCAATGACTAAAATCACAGACAATAAGCGTTTTACTGAACGTTTGTGTTGTACAATGCAACTCTATGTGTTTTCTATACAGACATCGATTACGATGTTTCACATGGGCCTTTTTTGAGCAGCTCGGCTCAATTTGAAAGAGGAGAAAAAAAAACATTAAGCTCTGCAGTCTCCCAGTCCCATGGTGCTTTGCTCTGAGTTTATTTTTACCTTCCCCATAGCTGAGCTTTACTTGACAGTTTGAAAACTTTTCCTGAAGGCTGAAAAATTACATCAGACAAGGTTGACTTTTAGCAGGTGGAAGCAGATATTTCATGGGATGAGAAGCCGGTAACCCCTTGGATGTTTATTATTCTACTTTACTCTAAAAGCAACTTAAATTCTCTTATTGGTAGAGACTATACAGAAATTGTAATGGAATGTGTTATTTCCAGTTTGTGGCTTTGTAAAAGGGCCAGGAAAAGCCGAGTGAGCAATGTGTGGGCTCTTTTCTATCACCAATCTAATACATTACCTGATTAATTAATCAAGAAATGGCTCTACTAAGGTATAAAACTCTGTGGCAGGGTTGAGGAGGCTAATAATAATGACTCTGCGATCTATCACCGGAGAACGTGACAGCTTCTCTTACCTTCCTTCAAGGACTTTTATTAACTTCCTGAGGTTATTTTCCCTTCCTCGTTTCTCAGTATCTGCCACACATTCCCTTAAAAAAAAACATAATCTAACCTTAAGGGAGGAAAAACATCTCCTCTCAACATTTTTCCCCTCTTCCTTCTAAATCAATTTTATTGAGGTGAGCAAAATCTTCACTGTGAAGCATATTGGTGGATTAAGCTGAGCAAGAACCCAGACATGTGGCAGCAACACATGATACATTATATTTTTGTGAACTGTGTCTGGCAAAGGAGAGTCCAGAGCAAAGCACAGGTTCAGAAATAGGATAAGTAATAAATGCTATTTGTGGTATCTGCTTGTTCAGTGATAACATGGCTTTGCCCCTTTGCTTTGGCAATCAGTCCTGAAACTCATATTGAGCCTTCAAACTTACACTTGTGCACAAAACCCCAAAATATTATTTAACATTCATTAGTCTCTCAACAGAGAGACAAAGAAATAATGACATGAATGTGTACAAAAAAATGCTAACCGTATCGACATTTGTGCAAGTCTGTGTAAGATAAATGTCTCATTTGAGAACWGAATTAGAATCCAATAAAAACAGTAATGGTACATAGTTAATCAGTGTCAGGTGGGAAGAAGAAACTCTGAGAAGCTCATGAGTCTAGATGCACATTGGCTATAATCTGTATTGGTGTCAGAGCAGTTGTATTGAGAATGAGCCTGATGAGGCTTGATAATAACTTATCGATTGGCATCTACAACCTAAAATGACAAAAAAAAAAATAAGTTACAACAAAAATCAATGCAGTTTGAAGAAAAGTTATCTCCACTTAAGGCAGGTGAAAAGTTTACAGTTCAGCATTTACATCTTTACAAAGCTTTGATCTTTTTTTTTCCAGTGCAGTGGATCAAAGACCTGTTTGATATTCTGCTCCCAAACATGAGGCTCACTGTAAAATCTCACAGTAAAAGGAATTTGACTGAAGTTACAAAAGTATGTGAACTGTTAAACAATAGCCTGAGTGTGATGCAGGTTTGATCAGCGTCACAGATACATGCAAACATGAAAAATACTGGAGGTTTACTGAATTGTGACTATTGTATGTTTAAGCTTAAACTGATTTGTTTAAATGCTTAGTCATGACTGATGGGTTAATAAACTTTATTTCTATTGTTTATGACATTGCAWGTGAAACATGATTGTTCATGATAGCCATTTATTTGATACAATGGAAAACTCTTTAAAAATCACATTTTGGGCTTTGCATTTAAATCTAAGTCACTGACAAATAAATTGCTTAACCCATTCTCACATTTGCATATTTTCATTACATTACCACGGCGTATTATAAATATGATTTTCAAGTTGTCATGTCCTTGCTGTTATATACTGTAAATCTTGGATTGTTGAAGTAAGCATATCTGGAATATCTATGTGGCATTTTATGGTGCTGATCTGTAATATAAGATAAATGTACCTATATAAACTCAACATTATCCACTTAGAATTAGTTCCTCAAAAAATGTACCACTTAAACATAATGAGAAGAATAATTGCATGATTTAAATTCTTTAGAGAAGAGCAATATAAAGCACAAGCAAGAACAATGTGTAAGATTAGCTGATAGACAGCTGACATTTGGTTTTTACCACAGGTTTAAGGATGATCGGCCACAAAAAGACCCCGGTTATTGTCTCAGACATGCTGCTGTAATGCCACACATAAAAAGAAAACACCACATCAATGGAAACAAGACAATACCGCAATGGCAATCACGGAATCATACATACACACATGCACCACGCTTACACTACAGAACAATGTAACTTTCAACCACACAACCACATAACATCATGAACAACACTGTAATTATGCTGCACATATGCCAGGAACACTAACAATTGCTGCAGATACAGATATGGTACTTGAACAGGAAAGATAATAAAAACAAGCATAAGCAACAAGACAGTTATGTCCCAGTGTTGAAACATACAGTACATGGTGTTTATTCCACAGCTTAATAATTTGTTGATGCCACAKACAATGCATGCCATATTTGTCACTGTCGTGGCATAACAGTCACAAAGCTTAACCTTTAAAAAACTTACGGAAACATATTTAAATATATGGAATTTGAAACATTAGATTCTAAAATTGAGTTGTTTAGTCTAAGTGCCCTGAAGTTGATGTTTGCTGACAGCTTTAGGTATTTTTGATGTGTCTGCTTTTAACAAAAGAGTCTACAACTTTATACACTGTTCATAATATGGCATTGTATATCACATAAAACAGAAGGGTAATAGATGCGTCATATATAATCTTCACTGACTTATAGTGTAATAGTCTGTCAAGACTTCAACACAACAGAGAAGTTAAAAGTCAAAGGCAGAATTACTAGAAAAAAAAGGGGTGGGGGTAAATTATGCAAAGCCTCAAAGCCAGTTTGATTTTTACAATCATTTAATCTGAGGAGTGGATTTAAAAGAAGCTAATCTGTTTTGATGTCTTCCGTGGTGAATTTTGATGTGGTTTATTTAGCTGCTGGCTTAAGAAGAAACAGACGCAGGACGTGTTGTGTATTATTTCACCCTAACTGGTTGGCTGTTGAAAGTGAATGAAATACTGTGACAGGCCATCAGGTTTGAGAGTAGATGGTGCATTTTTTATATTCAAACTTGTAAATGGGCCTGGGTGAGTTGTGGGGGGGGTGGGGGTGGGGGGTGCATCAAACAGTTTGAGTAGGTGATGACAAGGTAATTTC